AGGGGGCGAGTTGGCTAGGGGGCGAGTTGGCTAGGGGGCAAGTTGGCTAGGGGGCGAGTCGGTCAGGGGGCGAGTTGGTAAGGGGCGAGCTGGTGAGGGCGAGTCGGCCAGGGGGCGAGTTGACCTACAATCGGTCCAACGTCTGCCCTTCTCCCACAGACCCCACAGAAAATGAGCCTTTTTCACCATAGGATCTAGATGATGTTTAACACGGCACGATCAGGGTTCTATTTTAGTTGTGGACCCCATGCACAGAAATGCCAAGAGTTCTCTGTATGGTAGCTTACATGTCTTTGTACTTTGTATCATGTTTGTACTATAGAAGAAAAAAATTGCCAAAATCATGCCCGTTTCCAGAAAAGGTGCATATGTTTCCTGATCAGAGTCCAAGAGTCACGCAGTTCACATGTGTACTTGCGAAGACGAGGCCCAACCATATGATTGACTACGGCTGCAACTGATAAACAGGACATGGAAATTGGCTGCAGCCGCTTTCCGTACATGTGTGTGTAATTCTTAGCCACGACTGGGCTGAATGGTTGAAATGGCAGTTGGCTGCGGTGCGCTGGGGTGACACTGACTAATCACAGGGCTCCTCATTACTTAAGCTCAAATGGCAGGAACGACAAGGAACAGCTGTTGGGTACCAGTGCACGTGAGTGCACTGTCGCACAATGATCACTTTCTGTTGAGGCCACACGTGGATGCAGACAGGCAGTGATTTGTGTACGCATCCATGTGCGGCCTCAACAGAAAAGTGTTCACAGTGCGCCAGCGCGCTCACTTGTGTTGGTATCCAACGGCTGTTGCTTGTTTTTCCTGCCATTTGGGTATAAATAATGAGGAGCCGTGTGATTGGTCAGTGTGACCCCTAGTGTGCCGCAGCCGACTGCCATTTCTACCAGTGCGGCTAAGAATTACATTCACTCATATAGAAAGCGGCTGCAGCCAATTTCCATGTCTTGTGTATTGATCGCAGCCATAGTCAACCATTTGGTCATGGCTCGTCTTCGCAAGTACACATGTGAACCGCATGACTCTCGGACACTGATTGGGAAATAGTTGCACTTTATTGTGGAAAACGACATAGTTTTGGCCCATTTTTTTCTTGGTACTCAGAACAACGGTAAATCTTTGGAGAAATGGAGCAGCATTCCTATAGGTACACAACTAGAATTCCTGTTCGTGCTGTGTTAAACGTCATGTAGAGCCAGTGGTGAAAAAGGCTCATTTTCTGTGGGGTTCGTTGGAGCAAAGCAGACGTCGGACCCCACAGTTCTGGGGGTACAAGTGGACCACATTCTCTTTTTCATGGGTGCACCAGGCCTACCAATATACAACTCCTGGATCTTGAATGAAGCAGATAAAAATATCCAGAACTGATGTGGGAAAACTTCATGCAGCAAATCCATCCCAAAGAGAACTTTCGAGTAGCAAGGCTGTATTTGCAAAGATTTGCATTGTAAGACAACGAAACAGTTGATGAGTTCCTGTCCCATCTCAAATTACACGCAAAGAAATGCAACTTCACAAATGACGGTGAGCTCCAGGATCGTGTTACTGAGCAGTTCATCGCAGAGGCAAGACACAGCGACTTACAGGAAGAACTCCTGGTCAAAGAAAAAAAAACGTCACACTGCAGCATACTGTTGAGTTAGGCCGTACTCATGAGGCATCGATTGGTCACATGCGACAGCTGGCCCAAGTTCAACCATCTGACCTCACTGTGGATGCTGTCAGATCCAGACGTCAATGCCATAACAGTGGAGGCACTCACCCCTTCACACCGAGAGAGCGCTGTCCAGCGTACAACACTACATGTCACAAATGTGGCAAAAAGAACCACTGGCAATCCGCCTGTAGATTTGGTTCAAGTAACATCGGTCAATGCAGCCATTCCAAATCCAAAGCATGAGCTAGATCAGCTCAACGCTGACAGACACGCTCCAGTTCCAGATCGAGGACAAAATCTAGCCGTGATGTCCACTCTATCTGCAATCCAGACCATGTGAGTGACCTCGAGGACCAGCTTGATGAAATAGTCATCAGTCCAGTTGCCATGTCTGACCCCAGCACCTCAGACCATCGTGACTCTGACACGTGATATACTGTCTGTGTAGGCGTATACCTACATAGATGTGAAGGGAGACAGAAAAACACTTGTTGAGCTGCGAGTTAACTACTTCCTGACAGGGACTCCGGAATCGGAGACGTATGCTTTATATGCGTGGCCGGGGTCTCCGAACTCAGGCAAAGGAAACAGGGCCCTGTAACTAAAGACCGTACTCCGAACAAAAGACCAGGCTGCTGGACATTATCGGCATTTTTCACTGTCAAAAGAGGTGATAATCCAGCCTTGTTTTGAAAACTTATACCAGGGTATGGGGTGAATTACCACCGGGGACAAAAGCGCTCCACCACCGCAGCGATGAGTCACACAGCACCGCTGCACGCTTATCTGGCCCCTATTGAAAAGAGGTCAGCAGTGCACTGAGCCAGGCTCGTGAACAAAAGAAAGTTACATAACACCGCACAATCTGGGCTCTTTTTACAAGGCTGCAGGCCTGGCTGAAATACTCGGGCGTCAATGAAGGTCACCTGTCAGCTTAGAGTAGTACCTAAAGATGAATTTTTGAAGAATTTTGAAAACGGAAGAAATGATAATTATGCCGGCCCAGCATCATCAACATTGAAAAATGCCCCGGCACGTAGTTGTTAAAGTCGACACAGGTGCACATGGCAACACCTTGCTTCTTCGCATGTACCGTTGCACGTATCCAGATAGACTCACTGGTGACAGTTTCCCAAAGTCAGTTTGCATCCAACCAACACACCGTATTGTGCACCTATAATTACATGAAGATCAACCAGCGTGGGTAGACAACACTCACCTGCCAGTATGACTAGAGTGGATGGAATGAGGCAGAATTCTTCATCGTAGAGTCTGAAGGCCCAGCAATACTGTGACTGCCCACATAACAACAACTTAAGCTCGTGACCCTGCACTGTGCAATTACCACCCTACATTGTCCCCCTATCAACTCAACTGAGGAGCCACTGCAGCAGTATCCTGATCAGTTTGAGAGAATTGGCAATTTTCGAGACGCATATCATGTTGTTCCCAAAGATAGAGTCCAACCCACTATTGCAAATGTCTCATAAAGCTGAAAGATGAGCTAAAAACAGAGTTAAACAACATGGAACTGCCACTGAGCAGTCTCACAGTCCCCAGGCGTGAAAATGGCTAATTCAGAATTTGCCTTGAACCCAAGGACTTGAACAAAGTGATTAAAGATGCCATTGCAAGACTCCCGCCATAGAAGAAATTACCCATAAGTTCTCAGGTGCACATTTCTTCTGTAAACTAGATGCAAAAAATAGTTACTGGTCAATGCGACTTGATGACGAAAGTTCCCTACTTGCAACTTTCAACAGTCCTTTGGGCATTATCGTTACCTGAGATTACCTTTGGGCTAGTGATGAGCCAAGTGGTGTTCCAGATGCACATGGACCAGTTTCTTGAGTCATGCCCCGGCACAGTCAGCGTTGCAGATGACATTGAGGTATTTGGTGCAACAGAGTATGAGCACGATTACAATCTCCATCATTTGATGAAGGCAGCTTGCCAGTTAGGGTTGATGTTCAACAGCGCGAAATGTGCAATCAAACCTCTGAACATCAAGTTTTTCGGCATGGTTTGCATCCCGACCCTGACAAGGTTGCAGCCATCAAACAGATGAGACTCCCTCAAGACAAGACAATGCTCCAAGAATTCCTTAGCATGGTAACCTATGTCAGTCTCTTCATTCCCCACTTCTCACACAGCAACACAGGAACACACAGCTGACCTCAGAGGGTTACTGAAAAAAGATATCGATTTTGTCCAGTCTCCTTCACACCAAATGGCATTTGAGAAGGTCAAAGATGTCAACTGTACCGAAACAATATTTACCTGCTTCGATCCCTCAAAAGAAACCACAATCCAGGTCGATGCATCAAGCAGAGGTGAAGGAGCAGCCCTGACTCAAGATGGCACGGCAATCGCCTTTGCATCAGAATCCCTGAGCAAGACACAACAGATAATATGCCAACATAAAGCGTGAACTCCTTGCGGTAGTGTTTGTATTAGAACGATTCCACACCTATGTCTACGACAATGGTTTCATTGTTGAGAGTGACCACAAACCCTTGGAGATGATTCAGCGGAAATCACTTAAAGTCGGCTCCTCCAAGACTTCAACGTATGCTCCTTCATCTTCAACCCAATGACGTCAAGTTCATTTACTGTCCCGGTAAACAGATGTTACTGCCAGACACCCTGTCCCGTGTCCCAGACACATATGACGACCATATCGACCTTGATCTACATGTGACATTTGTCAGATTCATGCAACCCAGACTGCATACGCTGCAACAACACACGCTGCCTCAAACACAACCCTCACGAAGCTGAAGGAAGTCGTCATTTGTGGATGGCCAGAATGATGGCAAAACTTACCCATAGCTCTCCATCCCTTTTGGCCTTTCCGAGATAAGCTAGCTCTAGCAGATGGGCTAATTCATTGTTATCCCTGCTACACAGCAGTAGCATGCTCTCTTCCAGCTACGTGAAGGCCACCAAGGCAGCGAAAAGACAAAAGCTACGAGCAAATGACTGTGTCCACTAGATTGGCATAACAAGCGACATCAAATCATTGGTCAAGAACTGTCAAACTTGTCAGCACTTCCAAAGAGCACAACCTCAGGAAACTCTACTTCAACACACTATCCCTACACGACCATGGCAAGTTGAAAGTACTTGTTCTCCTTCGAAGGTGAGAATTCCTCATCATGGCTGACTGCTATTCAAAGTTCCCATTCCTCAGAAAGTTTTCAGTCCCTTGCACCAGCTCAGCAGTCATAACAGCCAAAAGCATATCTTCGCTGAAAATGGCATTCCAGAACGAGTCCTCAGTGACAATGCATGACACTACGATTCTTCTGAATACGGACATTTCTCTGAAACCCGGGGCTTTGACCACATCACTTCTTCACCCCACTATCCCCCGTCCAACGGTTTCATCGAGAGAGCCATACAAACTATGAAGGAGACACTGATGAAAGCCCGATCCAGCGGTGGTGACATGCACATGGTATTGCTCTGCATCCGTAGAACTCCAGTTGATCTTAAGATCCCTAGCCCGGCACAACTCCTGTACAACAGAAGAGTTTGTGGCAATCTACCGCGAGGATCAAAAATACCTTAACCTCCTGAGATGAAATTTGAGACCGTCTCCACCAGCGCCAAGTGAGCCAGAAACAGTACCACGACAGACGTGCCACCGACCTCCCACCTTAAGACTGGCCAAACAGTCTTCACCCGTGACCCGATATCCGGCTGGTGGACACCAGCAACCATAAAGGAAAAATGCACTGAGCCCCGATCGTGCATAGTGCATACTCCCAATGGCAGCTTTCTACGTCACAACCGTAAACACATCCATGACTTAGAGCCAGTCAAGAAGACAGTGACCTTTGATCTTGACCCCCCTAACCATCAAGTACTACCATCCGATTTACCAGCTGCAAATTCAGCAATGACAATGCAGACACTTACTGTCCAGGTGATCCAAGAGCAACCCTACAAGACTCGCTGTGGACGACTTGTGTGAAAGCCGGACAGACTGTCATTGTGAACACGAATATCTTCTTCAGACTCTCCTTCAACTGCTGTCCCTCAAATTCTTCATCAATTCCCTGGCAAAACCCTTTGGTTTAAACCCATTTGACTTTAATTCACCGTTTATCAGCCGAAAATCCAATTAAAAAAAAGAAGAAAAAGGAAAACAAAACTTTCCAGTTTGGGCAGAATTTTGGCACAATTTTGTTTGTTTTTAGAAGTCAAGATTTTTTTGTATTCTTTCACTTTCATTATTTCCAGATTTTTTTTCACCAGAAAGATCCGAAAAGTTCCTCAGTTATTTATAAGCTCTTCCGTAGACAAGACAGTAGATTTTGTTTTGTTCTCCTAATTTCTAAACTTTCCAGGAAGCCACTTCATTTTTTTCTTTTCAAGTGCAACTAATTTTTTTCTTTGACAAGAATAGATGCAAATTGATCCATCAGCATCGTTTATTTAACCAACTCATTTTCTTTCCAAAGAGAACCGTTTAAAGTTTGAAAGTCATTTTGTTCAAAGTTACTTTTTTTCTAAAAAGGGGGATGTTACGTCTCCACCTGTCACATGACGGTGCTGTACACTTGTGTGTGTTCCCATTTCTCAGGCCACGTTCTAGTAACAAAGGGTTTGGTCAACCTTGTGAGTGACCAATCGTATTCTTGATGGAAACATCCATCAAGAGATTCTGAGGGCATTTAAGAGCCAATGCCAGGGTCAGAATTTAGTCTGCGCCCATACCACCGCAGACCACTGGTCAACAGCCCAACATTTCAAGTTGACACAGTAGCCATATTGGGTGAGTTACTGTCCTTAAAATATTTTCTTGTTATAATCTACCTGTGTGTAACTTTATTTTGAGTTTTACTTCGGTGACTTAGTATTATGAACTGTTCATATGTTACAGTACTTCTAATGTTGTTGGAATTGTATTGCTTGCTTGTTTTTATGACCAATTCCAATCATTGCATTCATCGCAAGTTATTTTACAGAGTACTTTTCTCTTGTTCTGATAATCCCTTTGTTTTGCATACTCGATTCAACAGTGCAGTAGTTTGTGATTGATGATGACATTTGGACACCCTGTATGGATAAATTTCTGTTCTATTAGATAGCTTAAGTGGCATCTGTTTGTGTCGAGGCAGATGAAGCCAGTTGTAGGAGAGAAGCCTAACATATCCAGGTTAGCTTCTGAATTATGTTGTGTATTTATATTACAAGCAGTATCACGCTCTGACTTTTGGAAGTGTTTTACAATATGTTGTATGTCAGATCTCAAAGTTAGTACATACCGACAAACAAAGAGTTTTTACTTTGTGTGCACTAAGTCATTTTATGATTTGTTATGTGAAGACTGCCACCCTAGATGTTTTGGTTTGAAGACACAGACTGCCTACCCAAGAAAGTGCTATGTAATTGGTCAAACCAAGAGGTTTGGAGATAAAAACTGAACACAAATTTGGCCTGGTGTTTAGCAAGCTCCTCTTCTAAGACGGGATCCATGGAAGGAAATGCATCCTATAGCTCAGAAACATTCCTTTTAAAGTTGGTACTGCAGCCGCACATGATCTTGTATGGTTTCCACTGTCTTTTGATGAATTGAGGCTGAAGACTTTCAAGAAGGCATTTGCATCAAGGCCGCCTATACTCTATAGTAAGTCAAAGGTGAAAGTCTCTGGTGGTTATGCATTTAAAGAGGATCTCCGAAAGATGCAGAGATTCCAACATGATCCCTCCAGGCATTTGACTCCATGGTCCCATCCAGTCACAAGTACTGTTCCATTGTACACAAAGCCAGCCTTGCTCTACTCCACCACAGCATTAGTACCACCAGATCTATCTTGCATCACTGGTTAAGCAGATTTCCACTAACAAAGACAAGTGAGCCTTCTCCACAGACAAGATGACAATTCTTTTGTAGGGCATGAACTTTACCTGACATCATCTAATGCACTGAACCCACCCCCACTATTTTGACAAGTCTACAGCCAATGACATCAGTTTGTAAATCGGCAATAGAAGCAAGCCAAGCACCCCTCAAGACAAGACCGGTTAGTCATCACATCACTGTGCCAAGACAACTCCATCCACATTCTCCAAGCAAACAAAGGCAATGCTACAACTGTTATTGACAAGGCCAATATGACCGCAAGGTAGCTGTCATCCTCAACTCGGACTGCTATCGTGTACTCTGAAAAGACCCTACACGTTCCATTGAGAGGAACGTGCAACACGAGCTTCTCACCCTCCAGCATTCCAGTAACATCTTTAGCCCTTGTACAAACAGCTCCAGCCATTCAACTCCAAGTGCCCAAAGTTCTTTGGTCAACCCAACATCCATGTTGATTCTGACAGACACATGGAAGAATTTGAGCAGAACGGCATCGTCGCAGCAGACCACACACCCAAGGTTTGACTCTGGTACATAGATGACACCTTTGTCATTTGGCACCATGGGCAGAACAAACTCTAACTCTTCTTGGAACACTTCAACAGGCATCAAAGCAGCATCCAGTTCACCATGGAACACAAAACAGATGGCAACATCTCATTCCTTGACGAGAACAGGATGGCAGTCTTACCCACATTGTCTACCAGAAACCCACCTATACCCATAGATATCTCCTCAGTGCTTCCTTCCATCACTCCAAGATCAAGACTTCTGTCAACTGGATCTTTGTTCTGAGAGCGTACCATATATGCAATTAGAAACATCTCACCCAAGAACTCCATTACATCACCACAGCACAGCATCCAAATGGATACAAGTAAAGCCAAATCGAGACGCAAGACCCCAGATGCACCTCCTGTTGAAGGGTCACCTACACCAAAAGACAATGCGCTAGGGCAACTAGTTCTGTTACTCTCCCCTACCTAGGCAGTACCTCCAATGACATCCAGTGCATCCTCCATGAGCATTGAATTCCAGTGTACCATACAGACTCTTGATGATCCAGAATCTGCTGACCTCGCACATAGACCGGCAAAACCCTCCGCGCTAGGCCAGAAGTATACAAGATCCCCTGCCAGTGTGGTAAAGTGTACATTGGCAAGATTCGCAGGGAGCTCCCTACTAGACACAATGCAAAGCCAATGGAAGGAAATGAGAATTTTAGAAGTCATCCATCATAAAGCACCCCCACACCAAAGACCACCTGATCAACTGGAGCCAAGCTGAACGCAGGAACACTGGTACCCGCACAATGGCGGCAGAAGACTTTTCAAAGTGGAGGGGGGTAGTTGTGAGACCATCTGGTATCAGCCATTAATTCACTGATCCATCAAACTCCACCCATTATGGGACTTGCACAGAGGGGGGGATGCCTCCCCAGTCAAAAACTGAGGGGGAGGAGGAGGAGCATCTTCCACATCAAGGAGGCCCTCGAAAGCCTCAAGCACAAGACAGTTCCCCTAGACATCTGTTTCAACATCAGCATCATCTAGTGCACCATCCTCAAATCCCTGACTAATGGGTCTCCTATACCCTAGGGAATCTTTTTTTGAGCTATTGGTCTCTTATACCCTTGGCAACCTTCCCCTGTGCTCCATTCGTTCGAACAGACATGCCATGCTGATCATCTAGCATCCGATGTTCTGCTTAATACCCTTGGGCTGGATCCAGAGTTACTCTCCTCTTACCACCTTCAAACACTATATACATGTAACTGCTCCACCCTGACAACAGACATACTGATTTCAGCTGTGTAAGCGTAGTTTAGCCCAAGTTCCTCCAGTGGTTTCATCCACACATAATAAAGAAAAACAGCCGAAGGTCAGAACTTCATTTTCCACTCTCCTTTAATAACGTGATGAACTGTAAAGAAGAAACAATACAGGTGAAATAGCGTTACGGTACCGAGCTCTGGTCACGCACACTTGCATCCATAAAACCAGATTGTCCCAAGCCCAGGATTCCCTCCGCTCCCAAAAATCTTGCCCGATCTGCAAACACGTTGGACAGAGTAATTCCAACCACTTCCTGAGCGAGTGACTGAGCACGATTGGTGTTTCATCTTGAAGGCACGTCAGTTTGCAAACATCATTGACGCCGGTCCAGATGACGAGCCCCACATCCTACATGAAGATGAGATTGGTGATACCAGCCACAACACAGACACCCACTCCTCCTACTGGGTCCAGACAAGACAATCCCCGTACTTGGACACCTGTGGACACCACGCCATCCGTGTCCTCATTGATACTGGTGCCACAGGAAACATGATAAGTGCAGCTGCTGCAAAGCGTATCAGGGCCCCCGTCAAAGAGAGCTCCCAATCGGCCCACCAAGCAGACTGTTCTTCCCCACTCACGGGGACGGGCGAGACGTGAATCACCCTCTCCTGCAATGGGCTCGAGTTCCTGTTCGAGGCCCATGTGGTCAGTCACCTCTATGTTGACGCACTTGGTGGCATGCCCTTCATGGCGTCTGGCCAGGAGAGTTCATTGAACTGCAACTCGCAAAAGACATTTCAGTACCAGACACCACTTTTGCCCTCAAACCTCGACCTTACACCCCTTGTGCCAACGTGACCCGCCCCGCCCCCACCTGGCCAACCCCTGACATAATTGACAGCGTGACTGGCAGAATCCGCATCCCTAACCTGACTGCAGAGCCACAGGTGCTGAAACGCCATGAACACTTGTCAAGTCTGCTCTGTGTTCCTGCCCACCCAAAAGGAAGATGCAACACACAAGCATGACTCCTACCATGGCAGTCCAGCAAAGAATTTGCCCCATTCATCCCCACACTCCGACAAAGTCTTCTTCGACCCTGACAATAGCCTTCCAGTCCCTCAACCTTGAGTTTGATGACGTTTTCAACCCAGACTTCAGTGGCTACAATGGTTATGCTGGACGGTCTGAAGCCATTGTCAACATGGGCCTGTTCAGTCCCCTCAACGCAAGGGCTGACTACCACAGTACTCTAAAGACAAACTTCAGGAGTTACAGCAGAAGTTTGATCAACTTGAAAAACAAGGTGTTTTCACGCATCCAGAAGACCTAGGCATCACTGTTGAGTACCTCAACCCCTGCTCCCTTGTCAAGAAGCCAAATGGTGAACTTTGATTAGTCACGGCCTTCGCCGATGTTGGCCGCCACAGCAAACCACAGCCAGCTCTCATGCGTGATGTCAATTCTACCTTACGCCAGATTGCGCAGTGGAAACAGATTATCACCACTGACCTCACCAGTGCTTTCTTTCAGATCCCCCTGTCCCACAACTCCATGAAGTATTGTGGGGTAGCCACCCCTTTCCTCGGTGTCCGAGTGTCTACCGGGTCAGCCATGGGTATACCGGGGTCGGAACTCGTGTGCGGTGTCCTCGGTGACCTGCTGAAGGAGGGCATAGTGGCCAAGATTGCAGATGACTGCGGTAGAAACACTCATAGCGAACTATTACACAACTGGAGGTGAGTTCTACGAACCCTGTACACATGTTAGCTGCGTCAGTCCGCCAAAAAGACCATCATTTGCCCCAAAACAGCCACCATACTTGGATGGGTTTGGTCACAGGGAACACTTCGTGCAAGTCCTCACCGTGTTGCCACTCTTGCCTCATGCTCCATCCCCCAAAAAGTTGCAGGCCTGGGTTCCTTCATTGGGGTGTATATAGTTCTTGCCCGAGTACCACAAGGTGTGCATCCATCATATCACCCCTTGACGCCATCATATCTGGACGTCAGTCAAGCGATCAACTTCAATGACAGATAGCACCCGTGCTGCGTTTACTGAAGAGTCTTCTCTTGCTAAGGTATGCACGATTACTTTACCTCACCCAGACGACCAGCTATGGATTGT